TAAAAACAAAAAAGTTACAGGTGATCAAAATGATATCAAAGATAAAAAAACACCCGGTACATGCTATTCTAAGTTTTAATAGTTTAATACTATATATTTTTTCAAGAAGCAGAAACTTTCATAAACAATAACTTTTTTTTTGTAAAATTGATAATAAAAAAGTTTCCCAGATGTTGCGAACTGAAGCGGAAACACTGTAGAACTCGTGCAATGGAAATATATTTTCAATTTTTGACAAATTTGCACTCTTGCGTTTTTAACAGAAATGGGCACTGAAAACGCACTGGTGCTCCTTTTTAACTAAAAATGCATCCGGGCAAATTTCCCAAAAATTATCGACAATTTCCATTACACTCGACATTTAGAATTTCATACATCTGTCAAAACTGACATTCCAACAATAAACTGACATGTTTTGATTGTCGATTTACGTTTTATGTGTGCACCAAACGTCAAATTATTGAAGCAATGTCAAAAAAGAGCGAATCTCGCGCAAGTGAGAATTAGGCTTCACGCGATAATTGGCGCGACACTGGTGTTTTAACATTTTTTGACAAAAAATTGAAATTTTTGATTCATGAAATTCTCTCATAAAAGCTATTTTCGGGTTCGAAAAAAGGACGGTTCTAGAACGGTTCAAAACAATCGCACAGTTCATCAATCAACTAAATGACAACGGTTCAGCTATCACAAATTTCAATAATAAACTGTGCGATTGTTTTGAACCGTTCTAGAACCGTCCTTTTTTCAAACCCAAAAATAGCTAAAATACAACTCAAGCAATGGAATTTTTAATCTTGGATTAATTTCCAAGCTGGTGTCAAATGATAGTTCATGGAAAACTCAGATAAGAATGTATGATCGGTTTAGCTCTAAAATCAACCGTTCAGGTTTTACAGCTTGTCAAAGCTGCAAAAAAGTAAATTTTCAACTCCTATTATTTCGGAAACAGTTGAAGATAGGTATAGGACATGATACATAAAATAAGTTCAGAATGTAACGTAGAAATAAGAAATGAAATTTAAAAAAATCCTGTGCAGTTCACACATGCATGCATTACACACATACTAACATACACAGTGGCGTCCCTCCCTCCAAAAGACTTGAGAAAGAACACAAATAAATATACCTAGTTTGAAAAAACTAAAATACACGCTGGGGTGCTTTGTTCCACATTTTTCATACATTGAGCACCCCACGCTTTTTTGACAATAATTCTAATATTTTTTGTTCATTAATATTTTCTGTTTCTATTAAAAATTATTTTTCACTTTTAAGTTCAATTTACTATAAAAGCGTGTTTTTTAGTTTTTTTAAAATATATTTATTTTTCACTTTTTAGTTCGATGTATTATAAAAGCGTGTCAGCCCCAGAGATTTCCAGACTTTTCGAGACATTATCCAGACTTATTCAGAGCTTCCCAGAGTTTTCCAGATTCCATCCAGATTTATCCAGACTTGTACAGACTGATCCGGATTCTGGAAAATGATCCCCAGGTCTTTTGGGACCTTTTCCAGAATTTTTCCGACCCCTTCAAGAAATTTCCAGGCCTTTTCCAGACGTTTCCAGAGATTTCCACACATTATCCAGACTTATCCAGAGCTTTCCAGAGTTTTCCAGACTTCATCCAGATTAATCCAGACTTTATCCAGATTTGTTAAGACTGATCCGGATTCTGGAAAATGATCCCCAGGTCTTTTGGGACCTTTTTCAGAATTTTTCCAACCCTTTCCAGAAATTTCCAAGTCTTTCCCAGATGTTTCCAAAATTTTCCAGACTTATCCAGAGTTTTACAGACTTTATCCAGATTTATCCAGACCTTATCCAGACTTGTATAGAATGATCCAGATTCTGGAAAATGATCCCCAGGTCTTTTGGGACCTTTGGCAGAATTTTTCCGACCCTTTCCAGAAATTTCCGGACTCTTTCCAGACGTTTCCAGAGAATTCCAGACATTATCCAGACTTATCCAGAGCTTTCCAGAGTTTTCCAAACTTCATCCAGATTAATCCAGACTTTATTCAGACTTGTTCAGACTGATACGGATTCTGGTAAATGATCTTCAGGTCTTTTGGGACCATTTTCAGAATTTTTCCAACCCTTTCCAGAAATTTCCAAGTCTTTTCCAGACGTTTCCAGAGATTTCCAGACAATAACCAGACTTATCCAGAGTTTTCCAGAGTTTTAGAGACTTTATCCAGATTTATCCAGACCTAATCCAGACTTGTACAGACTGATCCAGATTCTGGAGAATGATCCCCAGGTCTTTTGGGACCTTTGGCAGAATTTTTCCGACCCTTTCCAGAAATTTCCAGGCTCTTTCCAGACGTTTCCAGAAATTTCCAGACTTTTCCAGACTTCATCCAGATTTATCCAGACATTTTCCAGACTTGTTCCAGCTCACCTGGCTTGTTCCAGGTTCTTGTTGTGTGTTAATATAAGCGTGTTAAAAAAGTGTCGTTTCATGTCGCTTTTTCGTTTCATCGAGTCTCACATCACTCCCAACGATTCTAAAGAAGTTTTCACTTCAAAATTAATGTTTTCAATTAAAAAAATAAAGTTAGCTGTCACAACTTGTTTCTGGGTCACCCTGTATACATGATATTACCATCAGAAAAACGGCAACTGAAATCAAAAATCGATGTGTCCGAGGTTTTCATGAGCAATCTCACCAATGTGTGAAATTAACACTTTTCCTTTTTATTATTTTTCTAGGTTTTCTGGAAGTTCTTTATGTAATAAACATCATCTCTCCCACCCTCGTAACTACGCCACCTCACTTTTTTTTGGTGTAAACATTTCAAGTATCTATTTTGCTGTATTTGTATAGGTAAATTTTATTATCTTCGTAATATATTTTTGTGTTTCCGCACATTTCATTCTCCACATTCTTATTTGTTAAATAAAAAGCACAATGTAAATTATAAAACTATTATTATAACTGTATACTTTTTAATTTATATTAGACTAGCTGACCCGGCGAACTTCGTTCCTCCTCTGAATTATTAAATACCTATTAAATGTTGTGTTAACGTATCTAAAGTGCGTTTTTTTTAAAAGATAAAAGTCAAAATGATATTATGTTGGCAATACAATGTAAAATTGTCAATGCTTTCAAAATTTTTATGTAGAAAAGGCTTGTGTTGCCAACATAGTTACTAAATTTTTGAATTGGGGAATTATCTTAAAAAAAAAAAAAACAGATTTTATTAACTGAATTAAATTCAGTTTTTTTCGATGGTGAATTTGGCTTTGGTTGAAGAAAATTAACTTTTACTCTCTGGATCAGAAGTCACCTAAAATTAAAATTTTACCTCATCCCTTTTTAGGCATCTTGTGGGCATTATTCTTATAAAGTCTACCACCAAATAAATAAACTCAGGCACAAGAATGTTCAAAAAATGTAAAGAAAACAAAAAAATCTCCAGCGCAGCCCTGTTTCATTTTATCTGCACTGCAATACTCCATCTGTTCTACTGTATCTTCACTATTCTATCTGATCTACCACTTTATCTGATCGGAATAGTGGAATAGTTCTGTTTGGAATAGCTCCAGTTCCTTAGCAGTATTCTGTTCTACTGTATCTGCAATGAAATTTCCGCACAACGGCGAGCTTCATTCTAGGTACCTATCATATATGGCGCCGTATACAAAATGGTTGTGGCGGACTCATAACCTGGCTCTCTGCCACTCGACACCAGCCGGACGGAGCACTCCGAACAGTCGCCACGGAACACGGCTGTCAAGGGATGCCTAAGAGGAGAAACGGAACTTAGCCACAGAACGTCAATGGTCAAGCGTCAAAAAATGACAGGGAGACCAGTTCGCGCTCTTTCGGAATCAATGAACTATAACCAAAAACTGGAATGCTAACACATAAGGACGAACTTGTAGCCTAGTGCGGCTGCTGCGGAGGGGATACCTGTTTTTGTCGCACTCATTATGTTAAATGGCGAAAATTGCTTCCAACACGTATTCCAATTGATGAAACCTGTGAAGGGAAATATGACAAAACTTTCGAAAACGTCATATGTCAGCGAGCAACAGAAAAAAACAACATTCCCCCTTGTGGCATCTGTCTTTCATGGCTTCATTTTTTTGGCAGATATGGCAATGTGTGCGCATTCCAGTTTTTAGCTATAGTTCATTGTTCGGAATGAACGAACCAACAACAAAATAAAATACACAATTAAAACATTGTCATTCTATTTATTTTTGGACATTTTTACTGTGAAGAACAATTAAAAATAAAGTGTTTTCCTCAAATTGTTTTTGTGCAAAGTGTGTGACAATAAAATCCACATGGTTTGCAATGAAAATGTGACGGTAAGCTTTGTATCGGTTATAAGAGATGGCGCCGTATGCGGGCTTAGTGAGTTTTTTTCATAAATAAGTAAAATAGATATTTTTTTTTTGTTTTTTTTTTTGGATTTTTTCGATTTATTATCGTAGGATGGACAAAGACAAATCCAATAAAGCAAAAATCATAAAAATCAGTCCAGCCATTCTCGAGTTATAAGTGCTCAACACCAACACAACTGTGTTTTATATATATAGATATATTAGTTTTGCCTCCACAAAAGCCCATAGGATTTATTATTCACCTTCCATGCAATTTGATCACACCCTTCCGTTATCTCGGAAATATTTGCCGTAACGTCGTCTATCACGGTCCTACTTTGAACTCGGCGACAAATAATGAATTTCGCGCGCTTGAATTTGTTGCTGGCCTCTTAAGGATTTCATTTAGTTGCCTAGAATTACAATTTATTTGATTTTTTCACTCCATTTAAAAATAAACTTTGGTATTTTGAATTATTTCGTACATTATTCTGTTGGCAGCACGCAGTGCCGCAGCGCGCCTGCTAATGTTATTTTCGAATGCGCGCCCGCCCGAGGGTTAAAAGAAACGTACAATAAGCTTGCACTCCATTCAAATAATGCTGAAATATATGTCGATAACAATCATCGCGAGCCCTAAACTTCAAATTTTATCATTATGAATTTTAATTTGCCAATAGAGATTAATCCTGCAATCTCAAGCGCCAAACAACCCAGTATCTCAAAATATGATAATAATGAAAAACCTTCTCAGTGTGGTTCAATTCAACCAACTTCTTCAAAAATAAGTAACACGATGAACAGTATTGATAATAATCTAGTTAATACAATCGAGAATTCAACATTATCAGAAGAAAGTGAATTTAAAGAATACTTAAAATTTTGGGCAGTACGTCATGGTGTTACACATTCTTGTTTGAATGAACTAATTGTACTAATTAAACCAAAATATAATTTTTTAAGTAATGACGCCAGGACTCTTTTAGGAACTCCAAGGAATAAGGCTGATTGCATCAAGTTAAATAACGGTGATATGATATATTTCGGCATTAAAAGTAATATAATTTCCATAATGACAAATGAGTATTTTGATGATCTAAATAATGAACTTTATCTATACATCAATGTAGATGGGATACCCATTTATAATAGCAGTGCCGTAGAGTTTTGGCCAATATTACACATTGCAAAAATTTCAATAATAGTTCAGTTTCCATTGTTGCCGTTTATTGTGGCACTGGTAAACCAAATCCTTTAGAAGATTTTCTAAAGCCATTTATATTCGAGTGTCAAGTATTAATCGCCGAAGGTTTCACCTATAAGGAAAGACTGTTTAAAATAAAATTAGAGGCTTTTTGTTGCGATGCCCCTGCCAGAGCCTATTTGAAACAAATTGTAGGCCATAATGGCAAACAGGGTTGCGAGAGATGCGATATTTCCAGAGTTTTTTCCAAAAAAGAAAGGAGATGATTTTTTCCAATAAATTTAAATTCCAGTTTAAGATGGGATGAAAACTTTTTGCAAAATGTATGTAATGACCGCATAAGGGGCCAATCACCTCTCCTTCAGATTGGTGTTGGCCTGGTTTCCAATTTCGTTTTGGATCCAATGCATCTTATTTACTTAGGAGTTACTAAAAGATTAATAACTTATTGGTTAGAAGGTAAACGACAATTTAAACTATCAAAAACTGGCATTACGGATATTAACAAAAAACTGCGTCTTCTAAAAAAAACATATCCCATGTGAATTTGGAAGAAAAATTCAACGGTGTAAAACGCTGGAAAGCGGTGGAATTTGATTTTTTTTATTATACTGTGGAATTTGGGCTTTACAAAATAGTCTTAATTCTATTATGTATAAACATTTTTTATTATTACATGTTTCCATTTAATAAATGGAATGTGCTGTGTAGTGAAGATTTAACTAAAAAATTTTTTACCGTAGCCAAAAAAAGTATCAAGAAGTTTGTTTACAAATGCCCTGAAGTTTATGATAATTTTTTTGTTGTTTACAATGTCCACTCTTTATTACATATTTGTGACGATGTTTCTTCATATGGCCCTTTGGAGGGATTTAGTTGTTTCCGTTTTAAAAATTATTTAGGTAAAATCAAGAGAAGTATTAGAGGAAAAAATTTACCATTGGCTCAAATATACAGTGAGTTCATAAAGTCCAGCATAAATTCATTATTTTAAAAACGGTAGAATTTTTGGAAAATCGCTCAGACACGTCAATTTTGTTTTTTTGTTTGAAATATTTTGATATATTTTTTATCATCTCATCTCAAAAATAGCTTTGCTGGTATCAACTTAATTTTTTTAAATGGTACCCCCTGTATATTATGACATTTCTGGATTCTACGGAAAATTCTAGACATATTTCATGTACAATATCATATACCTATCTTCAACTGTTTCGGAAATATTGACAGTTGAAAATTGACTTTTTTCCAACTTTGACAGGCTGTAAAACCGAAACGGTAAATTTTAGAGGAAAACCGATTTCACATTCGAGGAGAATAGCGAAAAAGAAAACTCTGATGTGGATGATAACTCAAATTTGACTAGGAAGGCAACTAGAAAGGCAGTCAAGAAGAAGCAAAAATTCAATAAAAAAAAAGACTTTTCTGATTCTGATTTTCCCTGTGAAAGTCCTGTTAAAAAAAGAATTAAAACCGACCAGAATATTGTTTACTTCAGTGACAGCAGCGATTATGGAGAAAAAATAGCTGAAAGGCAGAAACCTACACAAAAAGAACAGTCAGGACCATCTAAATCATGGTCAGTATTACAATTTAAGAAATATTAAATAATAATATTATAATCATTATTGTGGCTAATTTTTCTATAGGTTGAACTTTTTGATATCTGCTGATTTTACTTAAATATTTTAGTGCACCCTCATTGAAAGCTATAACTCCACAGAATAAAACGCTTCCTCAAAGAGATCATGATAAGTTTGAAAGTCAGAAGTAAGTCTAACAAAATCCTATTTTCAATATTAAAATTGCTTTCTTTAGAACACGTCTTAGGGGCTCAGAAACGCACAGTTCTTTAGTGAGGAGCTCTCCATCTTCATCAATTTTCAACGCTGATCCTACTTTAAACTATCAAAACCAAAATCAGTTTCAACAGAGTATTCTTGAAGATCTTACAACAATTAGGGTTGTTCAAGAGCAGCAGTCAACACTCTTGGCGCAGATTTGGCAAACTTTACAAGTTCAAAAGGTCCAAGCATTGCAACGTCCTCCAGATGTACCTGATCTTCCCATAGATCGGAAAAGAGATTTTGGAAATTAAGAAGAATGGCTGGAAAATGAGCAAAACTATATTTACATGGTAGGTGAAAGAATTATTTAAATTATTGTTTTGACATAATATATTTGAAATTTCAATGATATCAGGTCTTCAAAAAAAAACCAATCAAAGATTGCTCTGGTTTTTTGAACGTATATCTTAGCCTAATTTTTCTTCAATTTTGTCAATGAACTTTAATGTCAAAATGTTATGTCAAAAAACCTGACCAATAAAGAAACAATAATGCGACGTACGTTTTCATAATCAAAGCAATCTTTGATTGTTTTTTTTTTTTGAAGACCCGATATATTCCATATTATTTTTTGACTCAACTGTTGATGCCAATACTCTACGAACGTTTTAGAAGCTAGATCAATCAGTGCTTTTTAAATGCTTGGTACTTGATAAGATGATTAGATATATGTAATAGATTGTAGCACAAAACAGTTTGAAATATTATGTTACAGAGGACTCGTTTAGCATCTAGTGGCGGAACAACAGTCAGAAGTGCGGTAATGAACATAATGAAATTCATCATGTCTAATAAATTGGGAATGGCCTTCAACTGGGCAGATAGTGTCCCAAAATCCCCAACTCAACGAAGAAAGTATGCATTCAAAGAAACGATTACTTTCAAAGTGATCAATGGTAAGTTTTCTGAATCCTAATCAGATGAAATAATAAACTGATATAACAGATAAATAATGCCTTACACAGGGTGTCCCAGAATTGACCTCACGAAACTGGTGCCTTTACACTAAAAATAACTTCATTCAACAAAGTTCAACAAAAAAATCTAGCTTTAACTATTGCTGAATATAAATCGTTTGAAACCGACCAACCAGCTTCCTTATTCTTGGAACAGGGAAGCAGCATTCCCAGGAGAACAAGTTTTCCGTCTTTCTCAATGATACGCAAATGATAATATAAGCAACAAAGACGGAACACTCATTTTCCTGGGAACACTACTCCCCTGTTTCAAGAACAAGGACCCTGAGAGTAATTTTTTGTTTTGAGGGATGAGGGATAGCGGTACTTCACAGTAATACCATCTCATCTCATCTCAAAAAGTTATTCTCTAGTATGAAGATAAAACCACCAACTTTTGACGGTTCTACATCCTGGACCATGTATATCCGACAATTTGAAGCTGCTGCAAATACCAACGGATGGAACGACCAAGAAAAAGCTACAGCACTGATAGTAGCGCTACGAGGTCCTACCTTAAACCTTCTTCAGTCCATTCCTTCAGTCTACCAACAGAATTACCAGCATTTAAGTCAGACGTTAGAATTGCGCTTCGGAGACCATTACAGGCAAGAAGTATTCATAACTCAAATCAAATCAAGAATTCAAAAACCCGGCGAGAGTTTACAAGAATTCGCATCAGAAGTTAAAAGGCTAGTGAGTTTGGCGTTTCCTGCAGCTGGGGAAGACATGCAAGAATAGATGGCAGTATCTGCGTTCATTGATGGTGTCAGAGATTCCAAAATCCAGGAAAACTTGAGAATGTCTAAGTTCAGACAAAGTAGCGAAGCCCTTATCCGAGCATTGGAACTAGAGGCAATCTTTGGTGCCTCACGACCCAGAATACGAGCACTGTCCATTGAAGATCCAAAAGAAAAACAATCGACAAAAGAGGATGGTAGTCTCGAGAATGTTAAGAGTAATTTCATGGAGGAAATAAAGAAACTATTACGCGAAGACAGACGAATGGGAAACAACTCCGACCAAACACCAACTCCGAGAAACCGAGTAAAATGTTACCGGTGCCAAAAGCTTGGGCACATGCAATGGGATTGTAGACTCAGGATGTCCTCTCCATCTTAGGATCGTTCTCAACGCTTTTCGAGATCTAGAGACGCCAGCCCTAATAACAGACAGGAACCAACTAGTACGGAAGAGAGGATGCTGGATAGTTATGACAAAGCCCCCAGGGTTGTGTACATAAAATCATTGGGCAGTCATTATAGAGGATTAAAATTCGAAGGAAAAATTAATGGAGAATTGAAAACCATCACTTTTGATACGGGTGCTGAAGTTTCCATAATGAGAAGGACATTAGTCAAGTCTCGGGCAATCCAACCGCTCATTAGAAACCTGTCACTACGAACAGTCACGGGCGAATCTGCACCAGTTCAAGGAGAAGCTATGATTGAGCTTACTTCTGGATCTACCACCTTCAGGCACAGAACATTAGTCGCCGATAGAAGATGATTTTATTTTGGGAATGGATTTGATCGGCCAACATGGTTTCTCTTTTGATCCTTCCATGAACATCCTTAAATTTGGTAATGAAGAAATTGTCCTAACAACACAAGAAGAATTCCAAGCCGTTAAGATACTGGCCACAACCCCAGTGAGGATTTCTGGAAGTACTGAGAAGATAATTTGCGGAAAATTAGAAACAAACCCTGGGTGCTGCGTTGGACTACACGTAATTTTATTGGAGATAAACCAGAAAGGTTTCTTGTTGGAAAGACTCTAGTAAGAACAAATGGAGACATTATGATAAGAATTGCCAATGTTTCTTCCGAAACAGTAAAAATAAGAGAAGGCGACATTATTGGAAATCTCGAACCAGTTAAGCAAATATCGAACTGTGACCTACCAGATAAGCGACATTTTGTGGAATCAAAATTGGATACAGACACCTTGATGCAGACTTTGGCGAAATTATGGAAACATCTCGATCCAGATAGACTTCACGAAGCCACAGATTTCATCTTGAAAGAAGCGGACGTATTTGTGATGGATAATCAAACTGGACGGACCAGTCTAATTCAACACAAAATTGATAATGGAATGGAACACCCAATTAGACAACCACCTCGACTATGCCAGTAGCTAAACAACAGGAAGTAGAAAACCAAATTGATAAAATGCTTCAAGAGGAAATCATTGAAGAATCAAATAGTCCATGGTCTGCGCCAGTAGTATTGGTTACAAAGAAAGATGGGAGCCTTAGATTTTGTGTGGACTACCAAAAGCTTAATGACGTCACCAAGAAGGACAGCTTTCCTCTTCCGAGAATAGACCATACATCAACAACTCTATCGGGCTCCAAATGGTTTTCCACCTTGGATCTTAAAAGTGGATACTGGCAAGTGGCAATACACGAAATTGACAAAGACAAAACTGCCTTCAGTACCGGAAGCGGGCTATACCAGTTTAACGTAATGCCTTTCGGATTGTGCGACGCTCCAGCTACGTTTAAGCGACTGATGCATCTTGTTTTGCGAGGCCTTACATGGAGAACTTGCCTGGTATATTTAGATGATGTCATGATCATGGGAAACTCATTCCAAGAACATCTCAATAACCTGAAAGAAGTTTTTGACCGTCTCCGGAATGCCAACTTGAAACTCAACCCAAACAAGTGTTTTCTATTTCAAAAGAAAGTGGAATTCTTAGGTCACGTGGTATCTGAAGATGGTATACAAGTTATTGAAGGAAAAATAGATGCTGTCAAGGATTGGCCAAAACCACGCGACAAACATGAACTAAGGAGTTTTCTAGGATTCTGTTTTTATTATCGAAGATTTGTGGAAGGTTTTGCCAATATAGCTGCTCCGCTTCATCGATTAACGGAAGAAAAATCAACATTTAATTGGACCCAAGAATGCGATTCCGCTTTCAGCAAATTGAAAGGAGCATTATGGACGAGCCCAGTGTTGTCCTATCCCGATCGGAAAGGCATGTTGATTTTGGACACTGATGCAAGTAACACCAGTATTGGAGCTGTCCTTTCACAAATCCAAAGTTTACAAGAACATGTCGTAGTACAGTAGAACCTTATCAAAGCCGGAACGAAATTATTGTGTCACCAGAAGAGAGTTGCTTGCCATAGTAAAAGTAGTCGACCATTTCCATAAGTATCTCTACGGACGTAAATTTCTGATTCGAACAAATGAAATTGATTGTGAATTAAACAAGTCGTCACTGTGCGAAGATATTATAGCAAAAAAATATCAACTATTTCTAGACTATTTTAGCGATATGTGGAAGCGGAGACATGAGTGGTGTCATCATTTTCGAAACGAGTATAGAACCAGAGGTCACAATACCAACAATATTGTTGAGGTATCTATACGCATATTCAAAGATCAGGTTTTACAGAGATGCAAAGCATTTAATGCAACCTCATTGGCAGATTTTGTATGCTTTTCTCTAGAAGAGCTTTACAAGCAAAAAATAATATCATTTGTGAATGGTAGAGATATAAAGCTTCAACACTATTTTAAAAAGTTTTGTCATAAATCTGATCTTTTGACAGTATTAAAAAAAACTGATACACTGTTTATGGTCTCATCTTCACAAGACAATACGTTTATGTACACAGTCGATGTTACACTAGAACAATGTGATTGTCCTGCAGGGACAGGAGGTAAATTTTGCAAGCACCTTTGTGCAGTTTATAATTCAGGTGTTAATTTGATAACCACACCCCATTTGTTGTTTCAAGACCGCGTTGAACTTGCTACTTTAGCAATGGGAAATAATGTCAATAGTTCTTTTTTTATGAATATGGATTTGAATTCTGATTCTTTGCCAGAAGGTCAGTAGGATTTCAATAGGCCTTTGCAGTCTATATCCAATGCAATCGTCAACTACGAGCCTATTAACTCCAATGTCCAGTCATCTGAAGAACATACACAAGTATTAGGGGAAAATCGTGCAAATGATAATATCACTGCAGAATATGCTGAAAAACTAAAATCATTGGAAGAAAACTTCAAAAAACTGCACCAATTTGCACAAGCTCACCCATGCAAACATATGCTAAAGAACATGAATGAACTGAATGCTAAAATTAATAATATTGAAAATGAACAGGGATTTTATGATATTGGTTCTGCTATAGCAACCAAAAAACAAGGACGCCGAATCAAAGTACAACCAACTTCGATTGCACGTCGTGCAGAGAGGGGGCTACATGCAGGCTCTAGAGCGATTCAAGCAGGCAGACCATCTAATGCCGAAAAATTACGTAAAAAAGCAAC